TTATGTAATTCCAGCTCTGCCACTTACTAGTGTGACCTTGGGTGGGCTGCTTCCCCTCTACATTTCAGTTGATCATTATGATGAGAGAAATAGATTTGCCTCTCTGGGCCGTTGAAAGGACTGGAAATTAGGTCAAGTACCTGGCATAGGGTAGACACTGAATAGATCATGAATAGCTAGCATTACAGATAATATGTGAAGGCCTGAAAGATGTCTAAGGTCTATCAAGAGGTGAAGGAAAAAACAAATAGACCCACACAATGCGATATTATTTGGTAATAAAAAACAAATAAAATACGGACACAGATTCCAACATGGACAAAGTTTGAGAACATTCTGCTAAGTGGGAGGAGGGCCAGTCACAATAGACCACAGATACAGCGACTGCCTATTTATAGGGGAAATACCCAGAGTAGGCAAATCCATAGAGACAAAGTAGATTAGCCATGGGCAAGGCCTGGGTGGGGAGGAGATGGGCAGCAAAATCTAATGGGCAAGGGGTATCTCTTGAGGGTGACAATCTCCTAAAATTGATCGTGGTGATGGTTGCAATATACTATAAAAACCATTGAATTTTACACTTTAGATGGGTGAATTGTATGGTGTGTGAATTTTATCTCAGTAAAGCTGCTATTTTAAAAAAAAGATGCCTGGATCTCTCAGGAAATGCAGAGAACACTCATAGCCTGAGTCAGGGGATTTCTGGTGAATGTGAGCAAGAAAAGAGGAAGTAAGAGACACAGCTCATGTGCAGAGCCTCCTGCTTCTGCCCTGAGACTCCTCCTTCTACAACTTCTTCCCGAAAAGGGACCAACTGCCCTGTCCCATGAGGAAGCCAGCAACCGGGTTTCACAAGTCTTGGTTTGACTTAGCAACAGGCTTCCAGCTCAGAGCTTGTCTCCTGCTACCAACCTCAGCAGAGAGGGGTGGAGGTGACTGTCCCCGCCACATGCCCGTTGCGCTGCTGGGCCACCACCAGACCCAGGTCTACTACTGAGCACCTCTGGGTTCAATCCCAAATACCATCCCACCACGTCATGGGGTCTCCCATTCACACACACTCTCAAGATGTTGTAACCCCCACTCTTTTTTTTCCCTCTGTGGCCAGTGCAGGAGTCCCAGATGACAGTGACCCACGGCCCTATTTATTTTTTTGTTGAGGCACAGTCTTGCTAAGTTGCCCGGGCTGGCCTCCAACCTGTGACCCTCCTGTGTCAGCCTTCCGAGTCCCTGGGATTACAGGCAATAGCCACTGTGCTTGGCTGCACTTATTCTTATCCAAGAAACATGGTGGTTTCACAACAGACCAGAAAACAAAGTACTATGTAGAGAAGAAACAGCAGGAGGTAGCACAGCTCTGAGAAAACCATGGTTAGCGCCTCAGTATATTTCTTCCTAGTCTTTTTACTGGAATCTCATCAGCTTTTCTTTATACCATCAAATGATCACACACACACACAATGATTTTAAATAGTTGGTTAGACAGCCGTGATGGCCCAGCTTTTCAATCCCAGGCTGAAGCAAAAGGATGGTCAGTTCAAGGCCAGCCTCAGCAACTCAGAGAAGCCTTGTCTGAAAATAAAAAAAATAATAAGGGCTGGGATGTGGCTCAGTGGTAGAGCACCCCTGGGTTCAATCCCCAGTGCCACAAACACACACACACATCTGTTTACACACCCAGACTGATGGCTATGTCACCTCTTGTTTGTCCCCGCTCAACCTGTCGTGGGGTCTCCTATTCACACACTCTCTCAGGATGTTGTGTTCCCACTCCATTTCTGTTCCCTCTGTGGCTGGTGCCGGGGTCCCAGATGACAGAGGACCACAGGGCAGCCTGGGCAGCAGAGCCGAGAGTGTCTGAATAATAGAATTTATGGGGCAAGATGTTGTCACTTATCATCACCAAAGACACCTTGGGCATTTCCAGAGAAGGAGTCCAATCTTTTAATCATCCATCATCTGGTGGGTCTTCATTTGAAAATACTGGGTGCTAAATGTCGATCCTCTGCCCTCAATTCAGCTGAGCAAGGATCCTGAGGTGATGTCCTGGAGCCCCTTAAAGGAGAGAGGATTTCCCAGCAGACCTGGGTGTGGCCCTGGGGCACAGCAGGAGTCCCTAACATCCCTTGAGAAGGACATTTCAGATCCAGGCTTAAAAGCACAGGCACAGTACTTCAGTAGAAAAGAGTTCACAGGGGACACATTTGACAGCTCCTGGGCATACCACTGCCCGGGTCACCACCAATATCACACGAGGACTTCTAATCCCAAACATCTTCTCTTGGTCCACCGACATTTTGTTTCCTGGTTCCAACATTAGGCTGAACCGTAGGTTCCGCAGTCCGGCTGCAGCAAAATAACCCGGGGGGTGGGGGGTGACGAGCAACTTGTGTAGATTGATACAGCAGGAGTGGGAGCCGTTTATTGTAGGACAGGAGGGGTATATATACATTCCACACAGCTTATCTTAATTAACATAAAACTAGATACAGCAGTCAACCAATAAGAAATCTCCACACTTAATGGCTGCTGGCGTTACTTCACAAACCACTCCCTCTGCAAAATGCCAGGCGCCATCCTGACTTATTTACAGACTCTAACACATAGGGAGCATGGGGAAGGATCTGGGCTTTGCATGCACTGACTGCAGGACCTTAAAGGAGCCCATAACCACACTGAGCCTCAGTTTCCCCACCTGTAATGAAGATAGAAGTACCATAAGGGTTTGTTGCAAGAACTAGACAGAAATTTGGGGAATAAAAGGTAGAAGCAGCTTGAGCTCTGGAGTTGGACCAGCAGAGACCATCTGCCAGCTCTTTGCCACACAAGCTCCGAGACTTAAATTCATGGTGCTTCCATTTCTTCATCTGTAAAATGGGGGTAATAATTAGAATACATTATGGAGCTATAAGGATTAACTTGAAGAACATCAAACACTTCAAACAGGACCTGGCACATTAGTGTGTGATCAGTGTAAACCACCTGCTGTGTGGGGCTGCAGATGTTAACAGTAACATCTGTAATGCCCTGGGGGAAGTGCAGAGTAGAGTGTGAACACAGTTCAGGATGAAAACCCTCCCTGGAAACATTTGCTTAAGCTTGTTTCTGCCTAAAAAAGCAACATCTTCCTTATTGTTTGCAATAGGAAAACTTCAAAGGCAAAAGAAAACAAAGACTTCCTAATTACCCAATTCTTAAGCCAAAGTCAATGAAAAATATCAATCTTCATATTCAATTTTTGTGCTACTGTTGTTTCTCCAGCAGTCAATGCAGAGAATCCAAATGCAGAGAAATGTCAATTACCAGGGGTACGACTGTCTATTCCTTCTGGAGCTCTGGGGGAAGAGAGCAGAGAGACAGCCCTCCGACTCATTCCCACGTTCTCAGGCCAGCTGTCCTTGAACAGGCTGTATGCAGTGCCTCTGTTTCCTTGCTTGGCAATGGAGGTGAACTACGCCTACCTCAGAGAATGGTGGGGATCAGCCAGGTGCTCCATGAAAGCATTTGGCCCGGGCACATAGTGGGTCCAAAATTAATGGCATCAATCAATTTTTATTATAGATGCAAAAATCACATGATAGGTCAAGT